CATTTTTCGGGGTCTATGCCCAGGCGTGGGGTGGCTGGGTCGCACGGTAACTCCAAGTGCAACCCGTCTGGCTCATTCGCCGAGGCGCAAGCGGCGCCCCTCTCCCTAATCGCTCTCTTGTCTTTTTCACCATTTGGGGTTCAGGGCCCGTTAGAACGTAGGTGACCCCTGCCTCTTACGTCCCGTGGCGACCCGCAGCCTAGCACAGCGCCCGGGACGCCGTAGGCGCTCGGTACGTAGTAATCGCTGCTGAATGTCTGATCTCAGGTAAGGAGCTGCAGGGATGTGACAGTTTAGGTGCTGTGGGGCCCACCCTGGGGTGACTCAGACGGCTCCTCCCGGCCCCGGAAAGAACAGGAACAGGGAGGAGCTTGCTCCTCCAAGCTTCCCGGAGTGACTCAGCAGGCCCCAGCTCCTCGGGCTGGAACGACTGACCCTTAGTGACTTATTGCAAAGGAAAGGAAAAGACCAAGGTGCCGAAGAATTTGGGTGGGGAGTTGGGTGCCCACCACAGCCTGTTAGTCAGCCCTGGGCACTGGTGAAGGGCTCCCGGGTGGGGTTCAGGGCTTCAGGCTGCCGGTTCAAGTCCCAGCTTTGCCACTTGGCTGTGTGACTTTTTGCAGGTTACTCAATTTTGTTTTTAGAAAAATAAGGTTAATGGCAATAGCTGCCTCATGAGCTTGTGAGGATTAAAAGAGTCCTTGGTGCTCACTGGCTGGTGCATTGAAAATGCCTTTTTGTGTGTTTTTTTACCAGAATAATCATCGTCAGCATTATCATCTATCCATCTAGGTGCTAATCTCTGTGGGATGGTCATTCAAACGAAGGAGATAATAAATGTGCTGGGGTGGGGGGGAGAAACATCGATTTGCTGCTCCACTTATTCACGCATCATTGGTTGATTCTTGTATGTGCCCTGACCGGAGAAGGAACCTGCAGCCTTGGTGTATCAGGACAACGCTCTCACCAACTGAGCTCCCCGGCCAGGGTCCATACTTTAAAAAAACAAATACTCAAGAGAATAAGAATCGAGAGGACAATCCAGAGCTGAATTGTGGGTATAAACCGGAGCGCACAATCGAGAAGCCCAAGGACTTGTTTTGTTTGGCCTGCTTGTGTTTGGAAAAGCTTGAACGAGATGCCTCCAGTTAAAACTGGGAGATTACAAAATGTGGTTGGCCAACTTCCCTTGAAAAACCGGGGAACCGGGCCCCATTTGGTACCCATTTCCTTGTGGTGAAAGCGGGCAGAATTGAACAACTGGCGCCCCCTTTAAAGGGGGAGCGAGGTCTCCATTTCACCACAGTCCCCACCGCTCCCTAATGCCTTACAGCTGGTTCCACCTACTCACTTATGCACTCTGGCCTGTGTACTCCTCTGAGTACTGCCCCTGGGGTAAAGGGGGGTCGATGGGGGCTCCATCTCGCAGCTGAGCACCTGCGTGCAGGCCCCCACCCGCTCAACAGCACCAGGCAGCCTGGTGAAGAGGAGGAGGGATGGGTTTCCGAGCCCAGTAGCTACAGATGCTCCCTAAGGTCTCAGCCAGACTTGGGGAGGAAAGCGGATTTGGGGGCTTGAGGGGAACGTGGGCACAGCCCCCGTGCGATGGATACCGGAACGGCGCCGAGGAACCATCATTCCTGACGCCCAGGTGAGGGTGCTCGGCCCCACCGAGCCCCCCTGCAGCCTTTTCTGCGGCTCTGAAGCTGGGGAGCAGCATCTCGAGGCCCCAAGTTTCTGCCCCTGGAGCTGTCAGCTCCGACCATGACCCCAAATCAGATGAACAGCCTCCCCCCACACACGCGCTCTGGGTCAGAGTCTGCCGGGAACAACTGTTTGGAAAAACCCATCTGCTGCTGCCTAAGGCGCTAACTCAGCTTCAGAGACCCGCTTGGAAGGGGGTGGGGAATGGGAGAGGAGGGGGTGACCTGAGAAAAGCCCACAGTGAGGACCTGGGGGTGGGGCAGAGTGCTGGTTCTAGGGTTCTCTGAGCCCCCTCCCCCAGATCCAGAGGCACAGCTGTGGGGACAGGCTCCCCCAGGGCCCAGCCTCCAGCTGAGACCACTACCCAGGCCTGGCTGCCTCATTTGCAGGGCCCGGTGCAAAATGAAAATGCCGGGCCCCTCGTTCAAACATTATTAAGAATTTCAAGCAATGGCTGGTGTGGTTCAGTGGTTAGAGGGTCGGCTGTGCACCGAAGGGTCGTGGGTTCGATTCCCGGTCAAGGGCACGTACCTGGGTTGCGGGTTCGATCCCTGGCTCCGTCCGGGCGTGTGCAGGAGGCGCAACCAATCGATGTGTGTCTCTCACATCGATGTTTCTCCCTCCCTC